AGCAGAGGCCAAGATGGCATCCATGTACAAAGATGTTTGCGAAAGTAAAGAATTCCTGACTCACATCGATGCAGATCAACTACTCATCCTTCTTGGTCGAGATGACCTCAATTCACCCTCTGAAGCTTTTGTATTTAAATCAGTGATGAAGTGGATCAAATACAAAGGGGAAGAGAGGATGGCAGTTGCTGGAAAAGTTATCGGAGCAGTTCGTCTGGGGCTGGTAGACGTGAAGGTTGTGATAGAAGAGTTGAAAACAGAAGAAATGCAGCGATTTCCCGAGGTAAACATGCATCTACAAGAATCCATGATGCATCACTGTATGCCTTCACATGAATTTGCTGCAGAGAAAATGAAACCAAGATCAATGTCTCCGGTGAGAATGTAATTCAAGTCATCTTACATTTGCCTGTTTATATGAAAATTTCATTTATTGTTTATAGCATACCCTATTCACTCGACTAAAGAGAGCCCGGTTTCATAGACTCTCTCAGTTCTGAACAGAAGAGGTGTAACACTCTGACTTAGTCTATTGTTGCCCCAACATTTCCGATTGTGTCGTTGGAGAAAATGTGAAATCTTCTCGGCCGTGAGCTTAAGATGAAAGATCTTCCCTTTTTAAGAGAAATTGTCAGGTTACTTTTCTTCAGAATTTTCATCAGTTCTGGAGTTACACTCTCTTTAAACCTCTGTCTGGTAATGCAATCAAGTCGCTCTGCCTACCACGTAAGTCCGGCGGATCAGGACGAAAATTTTCTTATTTAATTTCGTAGCACACTTTCTCCATAGTAAAATCGGTATTACCATTAAATTTATTCATTTGACGATGATGCTTAAAAATGAAAAAGCTTTAAAGGTTTGTAATGAATAGTCTCTCTTCTAGTGCATGTAGCTTCATGTGCCTCGCCGCTATTATAGTGGTTTGCGATGAATAAGTATACGAGCTTCCGTTTTGAGAGTGTAGAGCATTTTATTCGTTAAAAATCCGTTGGTGTTAAACTCTAGACGTTACTCCTAGGCTTTCTTGTAATCACTAAAGATTGATTTCAAGTTATAATTAATTGATCAAGAAGCGATCTTTTGCAATGGAACACTGAAAGTTTAACAATCGTATCATTTTGTTCCCAGCTTTTATCAAAGCCTCGTTCAGCATAATGATTTCGGTGTCACTTGCGTGCTTCAACGAGATCATTTTCATTTCAAGTTTTTTTTGTTGTCATTTCAGGTTCTCGTGGCTATCCATCCAACTCGAAAGACAGGTAAATTATTTACCCCGTTATTGGCTTTCCATGGTCTTCAGCCTGAAGTCGCTTTCGCTCAATATTTTGATGTTGACACCAAATTGTGGAAGCCTTTGGCATCGGTTGCTCAGCTAGATGAAACGACTGGTGTATTTTGTTCTGCAGAATTGATTGGAAGTTACTTGTTTGTAGTCACAGGGGTGCAAGTTGAGCTAGAGATGCAAGTTGCATGTGTTGTATACCGTTATCACATATTAAATAACAAGTGGGAGAAACTTCCATATTTGAAAATAAGGGAATCATTTGACCCATGGAACACCCGGGGTAAGATTTGCGTATGCTCAGTCAGTGAGTATTTGTATGTCATTACTCTATCAAATCCTCCCCAAAGGTATTCTTTGAGCACTGGCGTTTGGCAAGCTGGGGAAGAGTTGAATTTTGTCAAAAATGTACAACGTGACAAAGAAAGGTTCGAATCTGTGGCGGCAACAGTAATGAATTGTAAAATATATGTAATTCATGGCTATCAAGCAGCTGATGATCGTATGTGGGTCAACAAACCAGCGGTAGTGCATTGTTTTGACCCAGAGAAAAATGAATGGGAACGTAAAGCTTCGACCTGCCATCCTCATTTTGGGTCTAGTATTTTTGTAGTCAATAACAGACTATGTGTGGCAGGGGGTTCAAGCAGAAATCGTTCAGGGGCCCAGGTGGTGGAATTGTATGACAAACGTAATGACACCTGGTCTGTTGTGGAGCAGAAACATATCCCGAAAAACAACTTAGGTGCATTTGAAATTGAAAGGAGGGTGTATTTCTTAATTAACAATTTTCCTATTGACAGTGGTATTAGAATTCCTCCGGAGGAAAATTATCCTGTCCACTTAGGTGATGAATGGAAAAACTTAGCACAAGTAAGTGAAGAAGCAGTCTTGTGTTATTTGCCTGTCAAGAAAGAAAACTTAAGATAAACAAAGAAGTGACAAATCCAAGGTAAAAATTTTAGACATGTAAAAATCGGTTAACGAACGGAATGGTAAAGAAAAAGGTCTAGATACTTGTTTTAATGTAGTTTACTGAAAAGCCATATTATAATACTCAACACACACTATTAAAATTAACTGTTGTTTCAAAGAAGTAGTTTTAATAGGTGTGCAATAAATATATCTTATTAGATGTTTTGGTATGCAGTATCACTGAGTATTTTTACGAATTGTGTTGTATTTTGACGAGCCCATAGGGGAGTCAAATTAGAAACAATGAGTGCAGTGCATTTGAATAATTTATGCAGTTGGATAATGAAATAGGTTATTGTGTGGTTCGTGTACCCTATCAATTAGCTGAGGGTATGGCACATGAAAACACAATTTGGTTTTCAATACGTAAATTGAGTTAAGATTTTAAGATAACATAGTTAGAAATGAGGAGGAGTCATGAAATAGAACTGTTGGTTATGAGTATGGCTCATGGTAGTGCTGTAGAAAAAAGTACTAAAGTACTAAGTATGTAAACTGAAAACTGGCAAAGGTCAAGAGGTCATAAACTGATCTTAGTCTCGCAAAGGCTTAATGAGTATGATACTTTAACGCTCTGATTGATTTTATTGTGCCATGTAATAACCTGATTGCATAATAAAGTTGTGAGTTTATTGATAAAAGGTTTATTTTTACTAAATGGGCTTTAACAATAAATGATAAACCCTTTCACTCTCAAGATCTTGATGTTAATTCTCCTCTCTAGCTGCTACACATTTCCTTGTAACTTGGTTATACGAATTTGTTGTTAGATCAAAATAACAACTTCTACCTGATAAGTTTGAGTATTCTCATAACCAGTTTGCTGGATAATGTGAGGATTTTATATAAAGGATTTTTTTGTTAATCATTTATGGAAGTTAAAGGGTGGGTTGACAATGAAGGAAAAACACTAAGAAGAGAGTGCTCGCGCTCCAGAGGAGTCGATTCTCGTAAACGGCGAGTCGATATTATTGATTTTCAAGGAGTTCTCTTAGCTATAACTACACCTTTTTTGCTTATTCCAAAAAAAAAACTGAAAACTCTGTCACTATATTACAACCATCTGTTATGTTTGCCCAATCCTACATTTTGAGCATTGCCAAAAGCAAAAAACAGATCTTTTCCCTTTCTTCGAAAAAAGAGACATCGCTCGTTCAAAATTTGAACTTAATTCACCATTTGAAGATACCTATCATCTGTTTTGCAAAATTCAACCCTTCCCCCTTCCTCTCGTAACTTGAAGGTGTTTGCGTGACCGTTGTAGATATTTGATCACGCAATCGAGCGAAAGTAATATCTCGTGTATCGTCTTTCGCATCAATCGTCTTGCAAAATGGCTGCATTATCTGAGATTCTCCATTGCAAATGCGCTCAGTTCAGAGATGAAGGTCAATTTATCGACGTTCGATTACAAGTCGACGAAGACGTCTTTCCAGTTCATCGTATCGTGCTGGCTGCGAGTAGCGATTATTTCTACGCCATGTTTACGAACGGAATGAAGGAGTCTAACCAGGAAATGATCGAATTGAAAGACGAAAGCATCACGTCAAATGCTCTAAAGATCATCTTAGACTCCATCTACACTGAAGATCTTCATGTCACCGAGAAAAACGTGTTCGAAGTACTCGCTGCAGCATTTCACCTCCAAGTGACGAGTGTTGTACAACACTGCAGTGAATTCCTGAAGAAAGAATTTGTTCAGCTCCGACTGGATCTGCAGAATTACTGTCTGCTCTGCACGGTTGCCGATAGACACGGTATGAAAGATCTGCGAGAGGCGGCGGAGAGCAAGATGGCATTAACGTTTAAGGATATCTGTGAAAGCGAAGAATTTTTGTCCGTTATAGAACCACACCAATTAGTTGGCCTTCTCAGCCGAGATGACCTCAGTGCACCGTCTGAGACGTTCATCTTTAAATCAGTGATGCAGTGGATCAAGCACAAGAAAGAAGAGAGGATGGCAATTGCAGCCAAAGTTATTGGAGCAGTTCGTCTGGGGCTGGTGGACATCAGAGTTGTGATTGAAGAACTGAACACAGAAGAGATGCAGAGAGTTCCTGAGATTCACAAACAAGTTTATGAAGCATTAGTCCATAACAACATGCCCTCTAATTTCTCCAAGTTTACGGAGGAAAGAGCTAAACCAAGATCAACAAGTCAAGTGAGTAAATGCTTTTTTACTGATTCACATTTACAATAACTAGCAGCCTCGTTGAAGAATTGGACCGTCAACAACTCACGATCCTTTGAGATATAATCAGCTCAATTCAATTTTATTAGGTCAATGTGAGAAACACCGGCCGTACCCTAACTACGAAGTTCTTTTGAAGCAAAGAAAATAATTATGTTCCTAAATTATCAAAAAGGTAAAAAGGACCTGAGTTTTTGTAGACATCTAACGTGTGACAGGCTCTTGGTTGGTGGGAAGGAGGAACAATTAGATTTGATTGGCGACGTTCATCTTTCATTTCAGGCGCTGATTGCAGTTCTTCCTAAGCTTCAAATGAAGTATTTTGATTTCCAAAGCAAAATATGGAAAAACTTACCATCGACAGTACCGTCGATCCAGGCGGCTCGTTGCGATTCTGCAATCTCTGTAGGCTGCAACTTGTTTGTCACAGGAGCAGCCCCGGATCACAGCTTTTTCTTTTATCGTTACGACACAAAGAGTAATGCTTGGGAGAGGAAGCAGATTTCGTCAAATGGATATGCGGCAGTTAACAATCTGTGTAATCTAGGAGATTATATTTATGCTATTAGTTCTTGTTTAGTTCAGGTTCCTAAAAGGTACAACATTGCCAAAAGGCAGTGGCAAAGCATTTCAAAACTGAGTACAAATCCTTATTATCAGGCCTGCAATATTGGAGCAATAGTTCATCAATCAATATTTGTCCTCTGTGGCAATACGTCTCATACGGGAGGAAAGTATCAACCAGCAGTATTACATTGCTTCGACCCGACTAAGAATGAGTGGGAAGAAAAGGCAAGAACTTGCCAACCACATTTTGGATCCAGTCTTTTCGAAGTAAATGGTAAACTCTTTGTTGCTGGGGGCAAATGTACTTGTCAAAATCACAATTATCCCGCACCAGTAGAAGTGTATAGCGAGGAAACCAACACCTGGTCTGTTGTTAAACAAGAACATATTCCCGACAATAATCTCGGTGCAGTGGAAATAGAAGGGAGGGTGTACTTCATCATCAATAAATTTCCAATTGACAGTGGGATTAGAATTTCACCAGGGGAGTTGTATCCTGTTCCTCTGGATGAGTGGGAGAACTTAGGAAAAATTGAACAATGTGCAGTTCTTTGTTATTTTCCGTTAAAGAGAGAATATACGAAAACTGAGTGAGTTCATTCACCGTCAAATATGAGTAGTCTGTTGATCCAACCTCAAACAATTCCTATAATCTTTGATTACAATTATCAGCTTCATAAGTAAGAAGGGAACCTAAAAATCTCTTGTTTCTTCAGTTAAAAAAGATATCGGCTCCTATCAGTGCAGGGGTTAATTAGGCTTGTTATTATTTTATTTACAATTTTGCTAGAGTAATTTTGTCAGTTTTCATGTAAATATCCTTCAAGGCTGGAAAGAAAAGTTCACAATACCTTACTCTTTTGTCTACACTATAGCACAATAATTTGTATCAAACAGATTTTTCCTTTGACCCAGCCTCCAGATGATTTCTACATTGATGCTACATCGCCTTTTGGTCTGCATTACCACCTGAACTGCGATTTATGAACAGTTTACCTGCTGAGGTCGTCAATGTAGTTTAACCCTTTCACTCCCGTGATCTCATTAATAATTCTCCTAACTGTCTTCCGTACAATTCTTATGATATTATCTCCAAGAAGTTGGTATTGGATCAACTAATAATCCCCTAAATGATATTTTTCTTTATTTTCATCATTTTTCTGCTTGATATTGAGAGGAGAAATCAAATTGAAATGTTTGAAACTGCCACTAGATTAGAAGGAGGATAAAAGTGATGAAGGTAACGAGATGACGTTGGCGTGTAGCGGTCACGCGATCACGCGATCGCCTAAACACCGTATTGCCGCAAGGCACTGTCTGATCTGTTGTTGAAATTGAAGTACAGTAGAATCATTTTCTTCAGTAAAATGGTTGCTCATGCCGATATTCTCCCGTCGAAATGTGCTCAGTTTCGTAACGAAACTCAATTCATCGACGTTCGATTATTTTTTACGCCATGTTTACAGATGGAATGAAGGAGTTAAGCCAGGAAGTGATCGAGCTGAAAGATGAAAGCATTTCACCAGATGTTTTAAAGATCATACTGGACTCCATCTACACTGGAGATCTTCTTGTAAACGAGGAAAGCGTGTCCAAAGTTCTAACTGCCGCAGATCATCTTCAACTCGCAAGTACTGTTCATCAGTGTTGTAATTTCCTGCTGACCGAGTTCGTCAATATTCGTTTGGACTTTGAAACTTACTGTCGCATCTGGGAAATCGCGTTTAGCTATGGGCTGAAAGATCTGCAAGACGCTGCAGATTGTAACTTAGCCAAGATGTATACAGATGTTTGTGCACCTTCTGAGACGTTTGTCTTCAAATCCGTGATACAATGGGTTAACTACAAGAAGGAAGAGAGGATGGCAGTTGCAGCTGAAGTTATCGGAAGTGTTCGTCAGGGGCTGGTTGATATTGGAGTTGTGATTGACGACCTTAACACTGAGGAGATGCAACAAATTCCTGAAATTTACAAGGAGGTCCACGAGGCAGCAATCTATAAACACAGGCCAACCTATAAACCTTAGTATTCAGTGGAGCAAATGAAGCTACGATCAAAGAACCCAGTAAGAACATTCTATTTTGAAAACTGGTGAAATTTTGTTAAGTTTGTGGCTTTCAAATCCTACTTTATTTATCCTCTCTATTTTGGAACATTTTCGTTTTAGTTTGTCTGTCTGGGTGTTCGTTTGCGTGTATTTTTTTATGCCATTCAGTTGTGTTCCTTACTTTTCTGATACTAATTTTGTGGTTTCCTTCATTTTGAAAGAAGCAATTTGTAGTTTCCACTGTAAGAGAGAGGGGAGCCAAAAAGTTTATGGAATTATGGAGTTGTTTGTTAATTTTATAACATAACATTATAATTCCCCAGTAGGTTCTTGTGGTTATCTTGCCTAAGAAGAGAATGCAGTACTTCGACGTAGAGGCCAAAACTTGGAAGACTTTGCCGGTCGCCTCCCCGCGAATTGGGGTAACTTGTGGTTTCTGCGCAGTGTCTCTTGGCGATAAGTTGATGATTGCCACACAGGACTCCTTAGGTAACTGCATCTACCGTTATGATACAGATACGCATTCAGGTAATAATACCACTGATCTCTGTGTTACAGATGAGTAGATGTACGCAGTGAGTGCAAACGATTATCAAGCTTGTCAAAGATACAGTTTCACTAAACGGCAGTGGCAAGCATTTCCTCACCCTACAGTACAAACAGACAATAACATAAGTGGTGCAGTGGTTTTAAATTCAAAAGTGAGTGTTCTGGAGAAAAATGAGGATGCTTTCAAAACGTTAGTCGTGTTTTGATCCTCAAAAGAAGAAATGGGAAGTAAAAGCAACAACATCCACCCGTTACCAAGAATCCACAAGGCTGATAGTAGTGAAAAGGAAACTCTACATTGCTGGGGGCAAAGTTCGAGGTAGTCCAATGGCAGAATATTGTAACGGAAAAACCAACAGCTGGGCTGTTGTTAAACAAAAACGTATCCCGGCCAACAATCTCAATGCAATGAACACAAAAGAGAGGGTGTATTTCATCATCAATAATTTTCCAATTGACAGTGGAATTAGAACTACAGACGGGCGCCTAAATTCTGCTGTTCTGAACGAGTGGGAGAATTTGAGAAAAATAGATTACAATGCAGCCCTTGGTTATATGGTAATGAAGAGGGAGAGTGGTGGGTGATAAAAGAGTCAAGCGTGGCTGACTGACTTCTCCTAATTACTCTCAGAGCAATATTTCTAGTAGATATTTACTCATTCATCCATGTTATAACTATGCACTTTGGAAAGGTGGAATGTATGACCATGTGAAAACATTTCTATCTTGGAAAAATAATCGAGAAATATGAAGCTAAAGATCCGTGTTGTAAATCACTTTTAAAAAAAGACCGTTGTACAATGCGTGTTCGAGAAGAGAAAATAGGTACATATCAAGAAAATACTCTCTCGTTGATAAGTTTGTCTGTTTAGCAAAGAAGTGATAACTGCGGGTGAACTATAATCAGAAGTAAATGCAGAAACCCGTCCCTTTCAGTTACGAGTTGAGCGTAATTCAGACCAACCGAGCTAAGAAGCCATACGTTAAGAGCGAAGCAAATTATGTGTTAGTTGTTCCGTTGCGGAATATGTTCAGGGTTGAGTGAAAATAAGCTATATTATGGCCTGCGGATGATCGAAAAAGTAGCGAAATGCCAGGTGTACTGCAATTAAGAAATTTCAGAAAATCAAGCCTGAAAAACGTAAGGTTTCGTCGGCCGTTTCGGGATTCAAGCCCGTGTCTCGGTCCCCATTTAGTTGATAATGAAATTCAGTAAACTGTGAGATGGACTCGCATATATTTCACTTCAGAAAGTTAAAGCGTTAAATATGGCAAACTCAGTCTTGAATTAATTCTCTCACTGCAGAGAAATCTTTGAAAAGTAATCAGAAAGTTATTTAGAAAGGTGTCCGGTCTTTGATGTGTCGCGACAATCTTGTAAGCGTAGCGCGTGATACTTTATTTTCTAATTTAATCATGTAAGCTAAGGGTTTGATGACAGTTGCGTTACTTAAGATTTAGATGAAAAATTAAGTGTAGCACGGTAATGATAGACTTGTAGCAAGAATGTTTGGATTGCATACAGCAGAAGTAATATAGAAAAATAATACTAATCTGAAATAATTAGATAAGGAATTGTCTAAAGAAATTGTACGCGCGCGTTTGGGTTGGAACGTCCTGTGACGTTGTATTATGTGTCATTTGAGCCGTTAATACTGCGTGCTACTGAAGTGTTGATGGGCGTATAATGGTAAACAGCTGTTAAAATCAAGTTAACAGGAAATAGCTTGGGATTTTAATATGTAATGTTAATCTTGGTTTTTCGTAGTTTAGGCGTGCATTTCCGTTGTAATAGTAGATGAATAGAATCACTGTCTTATAACAGACGATCGAGATCGATTGAATGTAGAAATTACGGATATTGTATGGATCATAAATAAATGCAAGAAAGCGAAAAGATACAGTCCTGTTAATTGTCGAACCAGCGGTTCGCAGAGATTTTCCTTAGCGCAGTGTGGAATTCTGCAACATGATGCAGGCAATAATATCGAAGACGTACAAAGACCTGTGTATTTTCATAATTGTAGATTACCTCGCCAAATTACAATTTTACTTGGCTTTAACCCTAAAGCTGCATTGTTAGACTTATCAGATTATGTTAGACCAGCAGTTAAGACTACTGGTAAAATCTAAATCTGTTCCAAGCCTCCTGTAAAGCATTTGAGTGTTGAATAAATCTACCTTAATGTTTGAGAGAAACACTATAATTAGTGTCCTTTTTCTTGTTGAAGGTCCTAACCACGTGGTAAGCAGCTCTGAGATTTATCAAAACAAAAGAAAGTGTTCACATAAAAAAAAGTCATAAAAAAGAGTTCAAATCCCGCAGG